AAAAAAAAACAATCACGTGATCGCATGTTATGATACGGAATGACGATAAAATTATTAGCTAAAAAAGATCAGTTAATTATACGAAATCTATAAAAATGTATGCCAAACGTATACAAGACATAACAGATTTTTTATAGGGTATTGAGGTCTATAAAAGTTTAGTCTATTTATATCTTATTAATTTTTACAAAATGATATTTTTTATAATTTATTAAAGTTAAATTGATTTAAAAAAAAAAATAATTAATGAATTAAAATTGTGATTCATCGTCAAGTAATATTTAATGCATCGAAAAAATATCTTGAATTGATTTTTTCGGCTAAATTTTGATGCCAATTACCATCTATTCACCACCTATTCACCACCTATTTACCACCTATTTAATAGCATTTTACAACTTCGTAAAGATATGTTATAGTCAATTTCACAAGATCGTTTGGTACCACATCGTCACATGTTGGATAATAGATCGTTGTGATTTGATGGCGATTTCTTAACTGCATGGTAACAAATCACGGGTTTCTGCAAAGTAATTATGGGTTTCACTACTCTTTCATTATAAAAGAAAATATAAAATATCATTTTTTATTTTTTTTATTTTTTATATTTATTGATCTCATTTATAAAAAATGATAATGATGCATTGCAGTAAATATTCAAAAAAAGAAACATGGCATTACGTTTTTACCAAGAAAAAAAGATAAGAATAAGCAAAAATTATAGAAATCAAAAATGAATAAAAAATTTTTTTAAGATTAATTTCAATCAATTGATCGAGATTTTTTTTTATTTTTTATCAAAAAAAATATGGATTGAGAAAATTGGCTCAAAAATCCAGGGTATTGACGCTTTCATAGTACAATAATTAAATATGTGGAGTACGCAAGTGTACTTAGTAGCAGCTTCAACCCAAAAATCGAAAGAACGAATTTAAAGAATAAAAAACGCGTTTGAAAATTTTAATAAACTCAGTATTATTAACAATTATAGACTATTATCCAAAGTCTCATTTATAATAATACCCTGCGAAACACGCTCGGAAGGCTCGATTTACTCATTAAAAATAGCGTTATTGACACTATACCCGTGTTCTTCAAAGTAAAGACTTTTATGAAATAATTGTTTGGAAGAGGCTCAGTCTTAAATTGCAAACCGGAAGGGACATTTTATTTTGGAAATTTCAACTTTTTCATTGTTATTTGAAAAAATCTGTCACGCGAAAGATCATTCTCAAAATAAAGACCATGAATCTATCCTTGCTAAACTAAAAGTAATTAAGTATATTACTATTTTGGAGAAGGGATTAGTAATAGGCTTATGGAAATATTGTTGGATATACCTGACGAGCATTCTGATATTAAAAAATTTACAGTTATCTAAACTTTTTAGCGTTCTAGAATAGCATTGATAAACAATTTTTTTGCAAATGATTTGTTCATTTTGTTTGTCACCTTCATTCTGCCTTGTTCTCTTGCTGCGCCTGCCGCAGCCTTAAGGTCAGAATTTTGTAGAAACACTATATTAATTTAGGGGTATATACTAATACAGTAATACTTTGACATGTTCTCAAAAAACTAGGAAAAGTTGGTAATAAATGTTGCTTAAAAGCATGTTTCTGAAATATTTTTGAATAAAAAATTGGTTACTTCAAAAAAAACTTATATTCAAATTCTTCTCGTGAATAAAATATAGTATCGTTGGAAGTACAATGTTACCTCTGATATATTTGTATAATTTGGCAGAGTGCCAAGTAAAAATAAGCAAATAAAAATAGCATCGTTGGAAATAGAAACGGAACAGAAAAATCACAAAATCGTCGTTTACGACCTACCGCAAACATAAAAAAGACAACATCATACGGCGGGCGAGCCGCGTTCACGCTACATGTTCAGGCTTGTTTATTCCAACCCGTATAACGATTTTAGAAGGCTTTTAGATGATAGATCTATGTGGATTTATTTCACCAGTTCAAATTATTTGCATAATATTCCATGGTTAAAAAGGTTTGATTTTTCTTTGTTAATTTTTCTTTAATTTTTACTTTAATATTTAATTTTTGTTCCCCTTTGATGCCGACTAGAATAGCAACACCGTTACTAGTAGTTAGTCTTTTTTTTCGAAGGGTAGGTCCAGATAGGAAATGAGCACAATTCGTCAAGTTTGATTAGAGCTTTGGTTTATAATTTATATAATTTGACCGCTGTGACTACCTTTCTTAAGTAATAATAATATCGTTGGAAAAAAATTTCCGATCCTCATATTATTAGAGAATACTGCTTTTAAACATAAAGAAAATAAGATATTCATATTTTAAAATATTTATTTTCATGCTTAATAACATACTAAATTGTTAGTTATTATGTAATTTTTATTAAATTGGAACAATCTTATAGAAAACATTTGTTTATGCATAACGTAATTAACGTATCCTATTCATTTCGTCTTCAAGTTTCCAAAAGGCAGTTAAACCTATGCTCTAAATCTTTTACAAAATATAAAAAAATGAATAAACCAGTTAATATATTAGTCGGTAGTAAAATAAATATAAAAATAATAATTTCAAACTACTTTTAATACTTTTTATTTGAAATTAAAAAAAAAAGAAAGGAAATAAATTGATACGTAATTATTGCTTTTTAAGCATAACATGGGTTGATGCGCTACAAAAAAATTACGTAGTTAGAAAAAGTGAGGTGATACTGGAGAGGATTATATATATCTATTATTGTAGAAAGAGATTTATATTGAATACGTGTATACACATCAAATTTCACTACAGCGCCTGTCTTAGGCGGATTGGTAATTACTGGGGTTTTCAAGTTTTCAACATCAATAAAAATTTTCTATACAGTTTGTGATGTGGATTTTTCGGTATATTTTCCAGATATTACGTAAATATTTCCAGACAAAATTTTATTGTGGTTTTTTTTTGGTTTTTGGTTTTTGTCCGGAAAATATCCTGGAAATTTTATTAATTCAATAATTACGACAAAGTTAAGGATAATGTGAGCTTGGTAAAATAGTTAAAAGTAAAAAGCCTTTTTTTGAAATTTTCCAAAATTGCCAAAATAACAAATTTCTTTGGCTAAATAGTATATAATTTGACTACAAAATTCTTAGCAAAATCTTAGGCCCAGTGCAGGAATTGAACCCGCGTTTCCACGATTCAAACAATGAAAAGATGTGGCGTTCTAACCAACTAAACTAACCGGGCACTTTAATGCATTTTTACTTAAGTTTTAAACTAAATATTATTAAATTACCAAACTGATATGCATTTAAACTAAAACTATACCTAAAAAGCCAAGTAAAAACTTATGATAACATTTTAAAGTATTAATATAAATTTATTGGAATGCCAAACACCAATTGAATTTGAGCATTGACATTATGACAAAAAAATACAATAGTAGAACAACAAATTGTCAATCAAAAATTAAAAATTCAACCTTCCTAAATACTTCCTAAATTAAAAATACTGAAGATTCTACCTGTTATATAATTTTTTGAGATAAAAATTGTGTAGAATTTTCTTCATTTATGAGAAAAAATTTTAATGTTGTATTTGCTTAGCTAACTAATTATTTGTAACTTATTATTTTCTTTACGTCTTTAATTGATTGTGTCAGACCGTCTTTCATCACTTCACCAGTTTCCTTTACTCCTTGATTATCAGTTACTTTAAACGCCTTTTTACTTAACGTTTTGAATATGAAAAACTCTCACGCACGCACTAGTCCCATTTGCTGCGGCCTTACGTCACGTACGATAATAGGGTAATCACATTTGTACAATGTAAATATTACCTATATATTACGTCATTTTACTTTACTAATCCGAACTTTAAGTTCATAATTGGAAATATTTGACACAATTTTTCACCAAACAATGGCACTCAATCACTAAATATTTCAGCCGTTTACGTCGACTCCGTCAACTCCTCAGAGAATATTACGGAGTATTTTATCACATGTTGCTAAGATCCGACGTAAACAAAACAGCTGCGGTAATGTTCAAATAACACCCTGCGCAAATTTTACTAAAGATCGTGCGAATCGTCAAGATAGACACATTTTAGTAATCGACTGAAGATCAAGTACATTCAAAAATAACGACTAACAAACTTAAGAAAATTTATGACCCAAATAAAAGTTTAAAATATTACAGTAGCCTAGAATTTGATTTAAGTTTACGGCTTAGCTCTAATATTAGAGATCAAACATAAACAAACTTGTTAATTTATTACTAAGAAAAGATGGAATAGTCTAGTTATTTATTACAACAAATTTCTATATGAATTCTTAATGTTTCAAAGTGATATTATTATATATAATAAATAATAAATAATCATAATCATCATGTACCAAACATGTATACCTGTAGATATAAGAAATTATATACAAAATCTAGGCGACGAAATCGTCGTTGCATATTGCAAGAATTAAAATAACTTCCTCGATATGTAGCATTTGCGCTCTTAAAAGATGAAATAGAAAACTTTACTCCAAGATAGGTGTTCATAGTAGATAAGACAAACGCTAGTTCCAATCTCAGCGTTTTACCAGGTATATCACCTCAATCATCAATTGAACCAACACAAACAATCTTATTAAAGGGAGAATTCGAGTTATATAAAAAAACGAAAATTTTTGATTAAAAAAAAATTAAATATTCCCTTCACATCACCTTTACGCAGAAAACGAAAATCATTTAACCCGAGACAAACACTCTCCGTCGTCCGTCTGTTTTATATACGAACGATATGGTGGGAACTGGGAAGTTCGGAACGCCTTATGTCAACGGGTCAACAACACACTCATAGGAATTCCGCAGTATTACGCGTAAAAGCTACTAGAAGCAAAATGATATCATTTCTCCTAGTATTGGATGTTAAATGTACACTTTCATTAGGAATGGGCCGAACAAACCTTTCAGGTGATGTGAAAAAATGAGGTGAACGAGTAAAGACTCGTTCAGAGAAGTAAAACATTTTCCAAGTTTGCTTGTCATTTAAAAACACGTGCGTCCGCGTTCGAACTTGTGTAGAAGAGTCAGCTTGATCTTTCGATCCTTTGCGTTTATGTTTATAGTACGCAAGGATATAAGGTTATTGATGAATTATTGTTGAAGTGGTCAGAATCGACTTCCCCGGCTCTGTTTGAGTACCGAGGTAGGCCCTCTTATAGAGTTTTAATATAATTTGGCGAGGTCCTGCTATCATTCCTCATAATTTAGAATAGACACTCGGATACAAGTTAAAGTTTACTTTTATCTTTTGTAATCTGTATGTATTCTCTTATTTGTACGCTTAAAAATAAACTTAAATACAGTTATTCCAGAATTTTCTATAATTAAGTAATTAAAATTAGTATAAAGAATGCTAATTTTATTTGAGTTTAAAAAATAAATAGATGGATAATCACTGTTTTCCTTACTTGAAACGATAAGCTGTTGGTCGTACTCATTCACAACCGATCAGATGTAATACCATTTTGATTTTAATTATTGATGAACTAACAAACTATCTTTTTTTTTCTCTTTATAAATAACAGATAAATTACAAATTGAATTACACAACTTGGTAAAGTATGTTTTCTCATTGTTTCATACTAACTCAATAATTGATTTATTCATCATCGTGATACCAAGTATGTTATATAGTATGTCATATGTTATATGACATTTCATTATTTTCTTTTTTTCTTTTACCATAAATTCATATAATTTATAGTAAAAAAATAACGTCCAATAATTAATAATGCCGCAATATACGGATGATATCAATTTCTAATAATGATAGAGATAGATATTGTGAATTATAAAAGTAAAATTTTTCCCCAGATCAAAAAAATTTTAAAATTTTTTATAATGAATTTGAAGAAAATATGATTGGATTTATTGTTATTTTTATTTTTTACACACCAGAAGATGCTATTTACAATCTATTAATTTTGTACGAAACATCATTTTCTTTTGAATTGACCATAAGAATCTGCTGATGAAGATAATGAAATAAATCCATGTCATTATAAAAGATGCTCAGCCGGTCTTTCGGTCTTATTCAGTCCCTGAATGGTCTTTTAAAGAAAAATCTCTAATTCTTGTACCGCAGCGGGATTGATACTGGCCTTTATAAAGCTAGCAGAGACCAAATTAGCTAAAGATCGAGAAAAATTATATTTATAGAATGATTAAGTTGTTATTTATGATCGTGTTACGAAACTACTCCGCTTTAGAATGGTGATTTCGGCCCATTATGGGACTTGGTAAATTATGACGTTAACCGTGTGGCATATTTTTAAGAAGAATTTCCATTAACTGCAATTTAAGTTTATGGTACTCGCTATATTTTAATTTAATTTAATTTTATAGAATATTTGTTTAATCAAATAATTTTGATTCTGTATTCCATTTAAAACACGGATATTTCTTAAAATAAAATAAATGATATTTATTATAATTAAGTAAAAATCAATATAATATACTTTAGAAATAATACATATAATACAACGAATATTAACTAGTTTTAATACGTTTTCCTACTGAAAAAAAAAAAATTAAATATTAATATAAACAAAAAGAAAAAATAAACAACAACAAGTATATTTACCACTATTATCATATGTATCAAGGTTTAATTCTTCATTGTTTCGTTTTCTTAGTGAGGGTGAAGAATTTTGAATTGTTAAATTTTGCGATGATAAACTAAATTGCAAATTAATATAAATTTAATTAGTACACAGAGTATCACCTAATAAATATAATTGTAAATACCTTTCAATGTCTATATCAAGATCTTTTTCTTTCGAAATATAATTATAATTATAATCTAAAGAAAATAACATGCATTTTAAAGATTATTGTACATAATATTTTAATTGCAATTAAATTTTTTACAGTAGTACCTTGATTATTACCAAATGAAATTGTTGATGATGAATTTGTGGATAAACATTTAGAAATTAAAGCACTTAATGGCCTACTTGTATAAATGGCTTTTGAGTGATATTTTTCAGCAAATTCAGGACCAATCTTCTTTGATTTTATCAGTTTATTTCTTTTTTCTTCAGCTTGAACAAATTCTTTTTTAAAAAACCAACTACAAAGAGTTACATGAATTTCTTTTATTGGTGGTCTTTTTTTTGGATCAGGATCCCAACAACTTTTCATTAGATTAGCATAACATTCTGGTGTATCTTCTGTAATTTTGGGACGTTCTCCATCAAGAATTTTATAAATAAGATGAATATCATGTTCAACATTAGCAAAAGGTTTACAACCTGTTGTAAGTTTTCACATAATCATACCAAAACTATAAATATCAGCTTCTTTAGAAAATGTAGACCCTTTAAATATTTCTGGTGCAATATAAGGTATAACTCCATATATTTCATTATTTGATGATTCATTATTTACAGATTGTGATAATCCCAGATCCCCAATTTTCCATTCAAATATATCTAATAATATATTCCCGCTATGGAAATCTCGATGTATAAATTCATTATTATGAATATATTCAAGCCTAAATAAAAAAAGTTAATAACTTAAATTTTGAAAATATAGTGAATACATTAAAAATATAAGTACCCTTCCGAAATATTCCTTAAAATATTTAGTTTAGAATGTACTAGCATTATATTATAACTATTCCACTTAATATTTGTAAAATTCTTTTGTAAATACTTATGTAGATTTCCTTCTGACGCATATTCCATAACTAATATATAATCTTCTAATTCAGGATCTTTTGTAAAGCCATAAGTATTAATTATATATTGATAAGTAAAACATTGTTGATTTGATCTTAACTATAAAATTATAAGATTTAATAATCAGAGATTAAAGACCAATTATTTAGATAATAAAAATCACTCACGCAAGTTTTAAAATATTCACCTCATTTAAGAAATATTTATTATTATTTTTAGAATTTTCAAATCTTTTTAAAATGACAGTTTTATTATTTAACCTTAACCAAGTTGCTTTATATATAATACCATATCCTCCTTTTGTCATTTCTTTTATATCTTTAAATTGAGAATATGGTATCCACCTTACTGGTTTTACTCTACCTTTTTCTTTAAAAATATAATATAATAGAGTTAATGGTAAATTGAGAATATGATATCCAACTAACTGGTTTTACTCTACCTTTTGTTTTAAAAATATAATTTAATAGAGTTAGTGGTTCAAAATATTCATCAATGGTTTTTGCAAAGTCTAAACTTAAGTCCTCATATATATTATCATTAAAAAGGAAATCAGCAAGATCTCTATCTACGACGTTGTCTATAATAAGTGATATTCTTTTACATTTTTTACAATGAGTTTGACCTGTAAGTCCAAAAATAATGTTTGTTGTTAAGCAATATCTGCATCCAGTATAAAATATAAGACAAGATGTACAATATTTTTGGCAATCTGATGTAAATGTTAACTCTAAACTACACATGTTGCAACTAGGAGTATTATGCTACCATGGTAAGTAAAGAATTAAAATTTGCTTTTTAACCAAGGTTGATTTTACAAATTCAAAAGAAATTAGATAACAATCTGAGCATATTCTTAATTTCCTTGCAGTACGTTCATTTAATAACTTTCCACATAATTTACAATGCTTTACACTTTCTATCACCTTAATGTATATGTTGGAATAATCGATATCAACAGGAAAATATCCTTCTATTTGTTTAAAATATAAAATTCTCAAACAATTTCTACAGCATTCTTGAATACATTGTGGTACTTTTGTCTTACTTGTCTCATGCTTAATACATCCCAAGTCCATTGTGTAATATATATCCAAGTATATACAGTATTATTATCAGCAGTAATATCATTAATATAAGGCGATAAACATTTTTTGCAATATTTTTGATCATAACAAAGAGTCTTAATATTAGTGCCTCGACCCGTATCCGGATCAATCCGGATTGATCCGGATTTTTTTTTTTTTCGGATATCCGGATTTTCACGGTTTTCATCCGGATTATAAACCGGATGAAAAATATCCGGTTTGACCCGGAATCCGGATGAAATTTTTATTATTTTTTTTTTTATTAATAATAATTTTGCTGATCCATAAAGATCTATATCTAAATTATATTATGGCTAATTATTTTTGCGCCTAATACCAATTTTTTTATTAAAATTTATTAAATTTATATTTGTTATATTAAACTTTTTAATACAGTAAGTTTAAGAAGATTTTTCAATTATAATTTATTTATTGAAGTTTGTATCAGATTTGTTTATTTAAATTTATACATTAACAAATAACAAATAATTTTAGATTTCACATTCAAACGTTCAAAAGAAAAAAAACTTTATATTATTTTTGTTACAACAAAATAATAATTATTGTTTTAAATGAAAAATTGTTCAATATTATAAATTTATATAATTATAACAACTTTTTTTAAAAATTAAAACTAGTGTTATATAATTTGATTCAAATGATTCTTTAATTTTTGAAAGAAGAAACAAATCCTTAAAAAATTGCCTTACTAACCCAACACATCTATTTATAGTAATCTTTAGCTGTATATAAAAATATCTTGTTTAAAATTTCATAATTAGTTAATTTACAAAGAAATGTTAAACAATAGTCTGAGACAATGCTGAAATAATATGAAATTGTTTTAAAGAAAAGTATTTAATGAAATTGGAATTATGTAAATTTCGTGGTCTTGGATAATTTTGGCCAAATTTGTAATTCTGGCCGAAATTAACATCACGTGACACCGGGAAAATAGTTTAGCCACCGGGCAAAAAATTTTTTATCGGCTGGCATGAAAATTTAATGTTACACAATTTGTAATTCTGGCCGGCGTTATGAATTCTGGCCAGAATTATTGCCGATCATTTGTAAATCCAATCCGGTTTCCGGTTTCTATCCGGATTATCTGATCCGGATTCAAAATCCGGGTCAATCCGGATATAATCCGGATTTTTTTTTTGTGTAATCCGGATGACGGTTTTCATCCGGGTCGAAGCACTACTTAATATATATTCCTCCACAATTAAAACACTTTTCATCATATATATTAAAAGATATAAAATTAATTGGTATAGGACTAGATTTAAACCTTGGTGTTGGGTCAAAAAAATTTTCATCATTTGTATTTACAAGTTCCATTTTAATGACTATATGTTATAAATAAATATCGATAACAATGATTTGGAAATTTTTGAACGTATTTTATTTATAAAATTTTTATTTTTATTTATACCTGAAATGAAAGATGGAAATTTCTGTTAGTGATACAGAAAGTATTATGGAATTTTGAATTATTACAGAAAGTTCGTCAAGACATCGGCATTATTTTTTACTTATTTAGTTCATAAGATCAACTAGTGGAAATACTTTTTAGGTATTAGGCGTAAATATTATTTCATCATAGAAGGTAATAATGGAAACAAAAATGTTACACAAATTAAGAAAGGAAATCAAATGAGAATTTGAATAAGGTTTAAAAATTATTTTGTAAGGCCAATTGGACGTATAAAAATTTTATTCCAGAGCTTGTCAATTCGTCATAAATTCATAATAGATACTATTATAAATTTGAATTACTGTAAAATCTTATAAATTAACAAAATTTTTATGGTTTTGCTGAAGCAAAAACAAGGTAGAGTATTCCCTTAAATATATCAAAAAAATATTCGTAATGCCAATTTTCAATTTTTTGTGCTGTCACTAGTATATCATTTATAGAAAGTTGAAAATAATTTATATAATTAAAAAAATTCCTTGGCCCGTATAAATTGAATTGTGTAACGTGAAACTCGTGATATACTAATGAGTTGAGATTAATCCATATAATCCAGTTTCGGTTAATGAAATTTTTGATCGGATTTTTTTACGAAAAAAAGTGTACTAACGAAAAGGTTTAGTTTATTTCCATTAGCAGAACGTGATGATTTTTTTTTCGAGTTTATAATTGTGGACATCAAGCCGAAAGGATTATCTATTATTTTTTTTTCAGTTTAAACTGGTTTTTTTTCCTTAAACAAATTTTCTTTTTATTTTTACTTTTTTTTCGGATTTAATTTTATTTCTATATAGTAATATTTTTTTCCTAATTTTTTTTTGTCCCTTCACCTCTTAAAATTTGGATCAATGATCGGATTAATACTGCGGTGCTACGGAAAGCACTAATAATTTTTTTTTCTTGGTTAATTTTTTTTACTATTTTTTTTTGCCTTTTAGGTTTAAATCAGGCAGGTACTGCGATGTGTTGATCTGTGAATTTTGAATCACATCTTTTGCAAGTTACATTATTTGTTGGTAAGATTAGATCATCAGGTATAGTTAGAGAAGATACATTTTTAAAAAAAAAAAAAAAAATAATAAAATTAATTTTTTTAAATTATATTTATTTATTTAATATAGTAAACTTTTATTTTCACCCACATTATAATCCAAATAAATTAATATTATGTATATAGTCAGAAATTTTATCATGATTTAAATTCCTTAATCCTGTTGCAACGCGACGAATGGGTAATTATGAAAGCTCGAAATAGACATTCTAATTTACTTATAATAGCTATTTAGGATATCTATTTAATTAATTTAATCGGATATTTAATTTATTTAATATACAGTAATTTAATAAAACATTAAAAATTAAGATTTGCAAGTTAAAAAAGTTTTAATAAAAAATCACTATTATTCAAAGCCTACTATTAACTTTTATTAAACTCTTAAATAAGCTTTAAAAAAATTCAAATTATACTATATTTCAGTTATTATTAAAAAAATAATAATTCTAATGATTGCTTGAAGACTCTTTCTGATCATGAATTTTATATATTCCAACATATTCTTTTTTCTCTATTTTATTATACTTTACATGCCTCATTACGAGAAATACTTGTGATCGGTTATTACTCTCCTAATGATCAATTATTCACGTGCTATATAACATATTTTGATGAGGAAAATGCATAAATAATACATTTGATACTGCTCTAATAATGATAATATTTCTTTTTTTTTTGAAAATAATAATGACAAATAATTAATTGTTCTAGCTAATGTATATTTCAGTTCCTGTTTTAAGAATATTCAATAGCTATATTATTAATTAACATAAAACTCTCTTTGATTTAACAAAATCTCAAAATCTCGATATGCTTTAATGATTGCCATATTCGTCTTTTGTATTATTTTATTCATCTTATTATTATTATAATTATTTGATAAAAAAATTGTATGTATGAGTATACCAGTTTATTTTGTTATTGTGAACCATAAAAGATATATTGCCATTGCAATTAATCATCGATGAATACCATCTTTAGTCCTCTATTTGACATTATTAGACCAATGCTAGGAGATAGAATCATCTTGGCTTGTACTGTTGTGTTGCTTTTTTTTTGTTGTTACATTAGTAATTATCACTCAAGAATCATTACAGAAACACTCATGTCAATAGAACAGTTAAGTGAAATATAATAATTCTTCTACGTAATACTAATTCTCCTTAATTTGATAATAATAAATCAGTAAGTAAGTAAAAGATATTGCAATTTAATAATATTATAAGATTATAATAACTTAAATAACTTACCATTAATTTAATGTATGTATATATAAAAATATTTAATGGAGTGATATAAAAAGGAGCGTAGTTCGTTGTTGTTCATCTTTATTTGGAAAATTATCAGTAATATGTGGATTAGCACTGTTCATTACTTTAAATGTACTGCTAATAAATATTCAAATAACTCATATGTCCTCATGAATTTGTATGTCAAAATTCTTGGAATCTACAAGAATAGGATCTAATTCCTGCTGAGTGACTAATGATTCATATATGAAAAGGAATCTTGGCTAAAAAGATGATATTTATTATGTATTCAAATAATGATGGTATCGACTATCGACTATTGAGTCTGATAACTGCCAAAATTGCCATATACAATTTTTTGTATCCTATTTACTCTCTCACCTTGGGCGAGTGGTACAAACATCGAGAGCTTTATTTTCGTATTTTGTTATTCTTCGTCGTTGGATCTATATAGAGCTTTGGCGCTGATTTTTTTTCTATATCAAAATTTTTATGAAAAAATTTTTCCGTGATTATAAAGTTAAATCTAACTCTTTGTTTATCATGTGATTTCTAATATTATAGAGATTTATTTGAGATTTATTATAGATTATTAAGTTTTGATCAGTAAAAGTTGATATAGCTCAACTTATGAAATTCCATTATTATAAATCATATTTTCACTAGTAAAATTATATGGAAAAGAGGCAAAAGTGATATCTATATATATATATATAATAATTTCTTTTAACTTCCTATTATATTACGCAATATATTTATTGTATTTTTTATTCTATTTTTATGAAAGTGCATGTATTATAAAATTGTTTTTTAAGTCCATAAATTTATGAGAATAAGAAATGAAACTATTTATAGAGTCAAACAGTATCGTTTATATCATTTTTGACTTAAATTATGGAACTATTGATAATACTACAAAAAAAAAAAAATTTATTTATAAATGAAGAAAAAAATAATGAAATAAATACTGTAAATTATTGCAACTCAGATAATCTAAATGTATTTTAGCTAATTAAGTAGTATTACTTTATATATATAATCCTATTCAGAATATTTAAACAACTAGAATTAATTTAATAGGAATTTTTCAGAAGTTGAGTAAATGATGTTAATAGGTTTCTGAACATGCATAAATCAAAATAATCATTAAATCAGTACTAATTAGATATTGTTTTACCTCAAAAGCATCTTAATATAATATTAGTTTGAATAAAAAATTTCTTATGCCATTCAAAAGCTTACAATTTTTTTTGTTATACAAGTATGGTAGATCTTAGATTAATTATTTTTCTTTACACGCTGTTTTGGTGGTAGTATTGCAGATTTAGTATAATATATAAAATAAGTATAGTTCAGTCATTAGGAATACTGTGGTGACCAATAGGAATTAATGTTACTAATAACGTTTTCTCTCATAAAAATATCGGTCATTAATCCTGCATATTCCTAATCGACTGAACAATAATAAATGTTATCCTAAAGCCAAATAGGATCATGCTTTATTCATCATGCTGATGTTTTTGTTATTAAGCTATAAATAAACTACAATTACATAATTATTATTGATATTTTTTCAGATACTAATAACATATAAAAGGTTATGGGACACGTCATATTAAACCGGAAATAGTTATAATTTGCAGTTCGGTGATATTCTAACCCCCTATCAAATAACTTATACATAATGATAATTCTTATCCTTAATGGTATGACAATGATGTTGATTATTTAGGAAATTTATAGTATGTATTATAAGGTTTATTAATCTCAATTTGTAAGAAACCCATAAAGTTATTATTCTAGGTATCTATTCATTTTAATTACATTGCAGGGTTATTAGGCTAATCACTAATATATTTCAAATAGTTGTTAATAATATTAATGAACAATTTTAGTAAATCCCTTTAAAAAAAAAAAAAATTTCAAGCAATTTTTTATTAAGAATATACAACAATCAAATAAATCTGTTAAAACTGGAATAAAAAAGTCTCTTTCAATAAATTCTTCTAGTAATATATACAATATATGTAAGAATATATAAATATGTCGTCTATACTTTAATCTCTACTGATGAGTTTTTAACTAGCAGATTCCTGCTTACAAAATTATATTTAGTAATATTGAACTTTTCAGTAAATTTGTCTATTCAAATTTTATAACATTTAAATAATAATATTAAGATATAATTAATTACTCTCCTTCATATTACTACTGTATACTCATAAAAATACCTGATATAAATTTTAAATGGCACGAAGTGCAAAAAATACTTGACAAAGTTTTAAACTAATTGCAAATAGATTGTTTGTATTTTGCCTTGAAAATCGTCTAATACGATTTAATAACAATAATGTATCAAACCCCTTATTGCTAGTTCAAAGTTTCAAAGTATTCTGAGCTACAATCAAATTAGATTTTCAAAAGTTTGCCACCATCAAGAACTTCTAAAGTCTGTGAACCCATAATCGCCACCATCATCATCCCGTACAGTGGAGAGAGCCAACCATTTTTTAATGGTTTTAGTACATAATTTTTATTATTTTATAAATAGTTTTTACCATTATTTCATTTGTTTCGAATGTGGAGGAAATAATATATTTTAAATTATTATTATAATATTACAATTAACTTATATTTACATGTATATTAAATTATAACTGTATTATTTCTGGTATTATTTTATAAATATGTTTATTGATACCTGTAATAAAATTCCAAAACCTAATAAGAGACCATAAGGTAAGAAAATTACAGAATGATATGATTTAATTTAATTATTCTTTAAAAATTTAATTTCTACATTTTTTCTTTGATTAGATGATGCGAACATATATGAATTGTAATTATTTTCTTAGTTTTTTAAATATGTTTCAAACTTGATATCTGTAATATGGATTGTACTTATTTTTTATTTTATTTTATTTTATTTTTTTTGGATATGTATGATTCTAATTTTATTAATAAAAAAAGCAGTAAAATTATCATTTATAAACAGTACATGCATTTGAAATTTTAAATAATTTATGATATAAATTATAAAATAATATTATTTATTCATTTAATGACTTGAAAAACTTCATAATCCTCTACATCAAAAGTTACTAAAGGTGGAAACATTCTAGGATAAGAATATGCTCTATAACTTGCCCAAGTACCATCATTTTGACAAAATAAATCATGACCACCACCAAATGTTGGACCATAATTTTCATTACAGTATATAGAAGAAAGGTATTCATTTTCATCAGGATAACCTAATTTTACACTTTGATAATCATTCTTATCTATAAATGAAAATATGAAACTATCTTTAGTTGATTTAAAATTTTCACTTTTATCCCAAAAAAGTGGATTATAACCTCCAACTATTTGTTCAGTATTTGTAATTTTTGCTATAACTATAGTAGATTCTATATTATCACATTTCTCATGGAATGCCTTTGAAGTATTACCATCCCTACTTCTACGATAAAGTAATTTAAATTTATAAGGAATATTTTTTAAATTATAAAATGAATCATCTTTTCTATCAATCCAACTAGCAAACGTAGTAAAATGTTTACGATCAATTATGATTGAATCATAAATACTTTTTGATTGTCTAGGTGGTAATATAATAATATTTGTTTTTAAATTTGGTGTCAAAAGACTATTATAAACATCTTTTAATAGTAAAGTTTTCAAAGGAAATACTTTATCATGAAGATCTTCCTGAGACATATGATGAAATCTAACTAACGGAATACATCTATGAAGAGTTTTTTTCATCATGTTAATTTCTTCCTCATCCCATTTTTTAAAATCTTGTTGAATTGAAGGATTTTGAGTAAGTCCCCATTTTATCAAACTATCCCAAATAATAGTTTCATCTAAATTTAAATCATCTCGTTTTAAAAGTAATTCTAATAAAGGTTCTTTTATAGTAACAAAATTTTCAGAATTAAATATTATATCCGGTTCTTCACAAATTTTCTCAAAATAATAATTATATAAATCTGTGAATAATTCACATTGATAAACCATTTCAAAAATTTCTATAGGATTTTGATATAAAAACTCATCTTTATGTTCATTCAAGTATTTTTGAATACAAGGAATTAAAGTTTGAATATTAAGTTCATCCACCGCAATCAAAAGTTCTAATGCGTCAAGACCTTGTAATTTTGTTAAATCAATCTTTCCGCAATAAATAAATCTATGATAAAAGTAATTGTAATTAAGAAAAAAAAAAATCAACATGTACAATAATTATTACGAACATCAAAAATTATATATTTATTATTTTACGTTACCTTAGAATAATATTAAATATTTGAGGAGGAATATTGGGTTTTTTAAAAATAAATTTTCCATCCTTTTTTTCAGCCCATTTATTAGAAAATGCAGCACAAAAATATTGTAACCTGGTACATAAAATAGGTGAATGCGCATGAAATTCTTTTATATTTTCATTTTCACCGACATAAATAATAACATCATATCCTATTTCAGTAATAAATAATTTTTCTAAATCATTAACGACTTCTTGATAATATTCGTGAGACATATTAGTTTTATTAGGTTGAATGAGAGAGTGTTAAAATTTTGTAGAAAGAAATATTTTTATAAAAAATTTCGTACGACAGTTACGCTCCGGATAATAATTGTACCGTAATTTTAGTTACATATGATTATCGGAAAAAAAAAGTTAGTATCTAAATCTTTTTTAAAGTTAATTTTAACCCACAACATGACGAAACATGTGATATTCATGCAAAAAAAAATTTTTCTAGAAATTTTTATTAATATGCTAAGAAAATTGATACAAAAACTTGAAATTTTATAATGATTTGATTCCTTCAATTTAAAAATACTATAGTGATTATTTAAATTTCTGTTTATTCAAAGTGATAATATAATGGCGTAGATATTTTATATTAAACTCCTTTGAATACTTAGGTTGATCAAGTTGATCTGGTATTTGCCGCAGTTACCAGGGTTCACGGACAATCATATCCACCGACAAACGTTTCATCGACAAGGCCACTTCGCTGATTGGTTCAATGCAAAGCTATTTAAATTTTTTTTTCTAATTTTTTGCTCATCGCAGCTATAAATAACTGATATGTGTAGTAATTAATAAAAATTTTTAAAAAATTTGAGGCTACATATTAGTCATTACTAAATTAGGACAATATTAAAAAAAAAAGAAAAGAAAATTTTATTTTTATTACGAAAGACATAATTATATGGTTTTTTTTTCTTAAAAAAAAAAAAATTTATATTTAAAAATTACCATATATGTCGTCTGTGGTGAAACATTTGTCTGTGAGTCGAGTGCATCCCGGAATATTGCGGACCGTTACCCGACTAATGCTGGCGTTAGATCTCTGCATAACTCTGGCCAAATCTGTCGGGAAAATTTCCTGTCGGGGAATCTCCAAGGAATCTCCTTCGGGAAATCGCATTATTGCATGTTTTAATTGGTCATATTTTGTACTACAATGTTTATTTGGTTTCTCTTGAGGACCCGAACCACATTTTATGATTTAAAATTAACATTCATAAACGTGGAAAATAGGACAAGCCTATCAAATGTGAGTAAATTAATTTTATAAAATTAGCAGATAAATGTTGGGTTTAATTGAATCACACTTCAAATGATATAAAGAGAAATTTAATATAAAATTTTTTCCAATAAATAAACTTTTAAACATTATTTGTGACGTGGCTAAATTTCTAGTAACACAAATTAACAATATTAAAGAAATCATTAACTCGTAAAAATCAAAAAACACTACTATTTTACACTCTTCTGCATAAATTTTATATAAAGAATGCCATGATACTTTAATACTTTATGCCAAAACTAATTAATTTTATTTTAATTAACAATTTTAATATAAAGAATTCTACTAGTATCTCATACACAAATTTGATTATCTTTTAATAACTTGAAATACTTCATAATCATCTACTTCAAACCTTGCCGGTATATCATCAATTTCAGGATATGAACTATAATAATTGTCAAAAGAACTATGCCAAGGACCTTTTCTATCACGATATAAATTTGGACCGCCACCAAACCCTGGTCCACGATTGGAAAAATTCCTTATAGAATATTTATTACCATTACTATAACCTATTTTCGCTGTTTCGATATTTTTTTCATCTGTAATTAAGTATATAAAACTATCAAATGTAGATTTATCTTGATCGCTTGCATCCCATTGAAGTGGATTATATCCCCCAACTATACTTTCTGAATTTGCAATTTTTGCAACAACAATAGTAGCTCCTTTATTATCACATTTATTATGAAACATTACGGGCGTATCACCATCTTTACTAGCACGATAAAGTAAATTGAATTTGTAAGGAATATTTCTTACACCATAATGTGAATTTTCTTTCTTATCAATCCAACTAGCAAAAATAGCAAAATGTTGACGTTCAATTAAAGTTGAATCATAAATAAAATTTGATTTTCTTGGAGGTTGAATATCATTTTTTAATTTCTTATTTGACGAAACATGATATTTTATGAGATCATCAACTAAATCCTTTGGTAGTAATTTTTTAATAGGATATACCTTTTCAATAAAATCATCTGAAGAAATATGATAAAATCTTATTAATGGAATAAATCCATGAAGAGCTCTCTCCATAATTTTAATATCCTCTTTACTCCATTTTGTAATGTCTTGTGAAATAGAAGGATTATGTGCAAGTCCCCATTTCAGTAAACTATCCCAAATAAGAATTTCGTCCAAACCTAAATCATCCCTTTCTAAAAGTAATTTCAATAAAGGTGCATTTAAACTGGTAAATTTATCAGATTCAAATAATATTTTAGGTTCTTCACAAATCTTCTCAAGATAATAATTCCATAAATCTGTAAATGATTCATGTTGATAAACTGTTTCAAGAATTTCTATAGGGTTCCGTTGCAAAAATTCATCTTGATGCTTAATCAAATGATTTTGAATACAAGATATTAAAGATTGAATATTAAGTTCATCCACTACAATCAAAAGTTTTAGTACCTCGGGACCTTGTAACCTTGTCAAATCAATCTTTCCACAATAAATAAATCTAATTAATTAAAAATATTTAAATATAATCATTTGCGATTTTTAATTTTTATAAAATATCTTTATTTTACATTACCTCAAAATAACTTTAAAAAATTCGGGAGAAACATTAGGTTTCTTAAAAATAAATTTTCCATCATTTTTTTCTGCCCACTTATTAGAGAAAGCTGTACGAAAATATTGTGATCTTGTACATAAAATATTTGAATGTGCATACAATTCTTTCATACTTTCATTTTCACCAGCATAAATAATAACATCATATCCTATTTCAGTTGTAAGTAATTTTTCAAAATCGTCAACAACTTCTTGATAGTATTCGTAAGACATTTTCAAACTAGTTTAAGGAAGATAGAAAAAAAAATCCGAAAAATTTGAAAGTCTAATAAGAATGGACTTACTAAATTTATAAAGAATTTTGTCATGATCTGCAAAATTTATTTCTTTTTTTTCTAAGAAGCTGTACCACCATATGATTAAAAGTGGATCTCGATTTAGAACTGATTTTCAATTTAGTATAACGGTTGTAAATTAATCGTTATTTGATAGAAATTAATCAAAAATATTCCTAATGATCAGTATACCATATTTACTGCACATGTGGCTTATCTTATAATAAGGTGTATTCACTTTTTTTCATTACTATTAAGAGCTTCCAAGAATTTTTCAAACTGATGAGATATTTTAAATGTTCATTGATATGGAGTATAAATTAAACAATTTATTTGTTGTCAAACTTATTTTAATAATTTTGAAAAGATGTAAAAAAAAAAAAAAATTCGATCAAATTAGCAGTGACCATCACATGAGATTCAAATTGGTTGGTTCCGTGAGCGTGCATTGCAGATCATCTAGACGAAAAAATCGGTATTTGATCTAATACTTTAATTATTCGTAAGTATAATTTTATATTCTCATACTTAAATAAACATTTCCTTTACTTTATTTATTAATAATTGTAATATTTTTAAACGTAAATCTATCAATATAACGATAATATAATTTAAGAAAGATACATAAATAGAATATAAAAATTTTTATACAAGTATAATCAACATTAAATTCAATCCTGATTTTTAATAATTTGGAATACTTCGTAATCATCTACTTTAAACCTTACCGGTATTCCTTCAATTTTGGGGTAAGAATTATTATAATCATAAGAAATATTTCCACTATGCCAATTACCATCATTATTAAAATACAAATCACAACCACCACCAAACGCTAGCCCATGATCAGAAAGATTTCTAATAGAATATTGATTACCATTACTATAACCTACATTTGCAGTTTCTATATCATTTCTGTCCGTAAATAAATATATAAAACTATCGATTGTAGCCTTCCATGTATTGCTTGAATCCCATTGAAGTGGATTATATCCTCCAACTATTCGTTCTGAATTTGTAATTTTTGCAACAACAATAGTTGCACCTTTATTATCGCATTCAACGTGAAATGCTGCGGGTGAAAAACTATCCCTACTAGCACGATAAAGTAAATTGAAATAACAAGGAATATTTCTTACACCATAATGTGATTTTTCTTTCTTATCAATCCAACTAGCCAAAATAGCAAATTGTTTACGTTTAATTATTGTTGAATCATATCTTTTAGGTGCAGTATGAAACCTCACGAGGTCAACAATCAAATCTTTCGGTAGTAATTCTTTAAAGGGATATACTTTTTCAAGAAACTCGTCCGAAGAAATACAATAAAATTTTATTAATGGGATAAATTCATGAAATGTTTTTTCCATAATTATAATATCTTCTTTGCTCCATTTTGTGATGTCATGTGAAATAGAAGGATTTTGTGCAAGGCCCCATTTCAATAAACTATCCCAAATAATACATTCTTCCAAATTTAAATCATCTCTTTCTAAAAATAATTTCAATAAAGGTATCTTTATACTGATAAATTTATCAGAATCAAATAGTATTTTAGGTTCTTCACAAATGATTTCAAAAAAATAATTCCAAAAATCTGTGAATGATTCATGTTGATAAACTGTTTCAAGAATTACAATAGGATTCTGTTTTAAAAACTTATCTTCGTTTTGAATCAAATAGTTTCGAATATAAGAGATTAAAGATTGAATATTAAGTTCATCAACTGATATTAAGAGGTTCAATACTTCAGAAATTTGTAAATTTGTCAAATTAATCTTACCACAATAAATAAATCTAATTATTTAAAAAAAAAGTATATTTAATTACGATGTTAAATTTTTTATAATTTATCATTAACTTATTACGTTACCTTAGTATAACATTAAATAATTTAGGAGGTATGTTAGGTTTATTAAAAATAAATTTTCCATCTTTTTTTTCGGCCCATTCATTAAAGAATGCTGCATAAAAATATTGTGATCTGGTACATAGAATATTTGAATGTGCGTGCAATTCTTTCACATTTTCATTTTCACCAGCATAAATAATAACGTCAAAACCTATTTCAGTTGTGAGTAATTTTTCAAAATCGTTAAGTACCTCTTGACAATATTCATGAGACATTTTTTTTTTTATATAAAATATATAAAATAATTTCAGAAATTTTATATTGAAAAGTTTCGGATTCTTGTACTACTGAAATTGGGCTTCGGGTAATAATTTAACCGTTTTTTTTTTTCCTTTTTTATCATAAAAGGCTAAATTCATTATATTACAAATAATGATGTCAAAATACCCAGCCGCGAAAATCTGCAGAATATTTTTCTATAGTTATATATTTCCAAAAAACAGATCCGTTATTGTAATAAATAATACAAATAATGCAAAACAATAATTTACTAAGCAATTCTATAAATAATAGTTTTGTTGAATTAATAAAATGTTATAAACAGTATTTGTGCTTTACTTATCTGCAATTAAGGAGTTTTCATGAGTTTTATTTACATTTTGTTTTCTTCTCGTTAATATAAGTGTAAAGCTTTAATTTTATTTAAGATACCAATCTCGAAAAGTCGAAATTTTATCTCATTTCATAAATTGCAAAAAAATTTTTACTTTATTTAAATACGGCTGACATCCAGTAGACCCGAATTACGTACAGCCACGGCTGAGCTATTTATCACAGCTAAGACGGCTGGTCAGCCTCACTATTAATTACGTCAAAGTTTCTGAAAATCATGATCTTCATGAAATGATCCTATCTGCTTCCTTTTATGAAATGGAAAAATTTTGGGCAAGACACTAAATATTTCAATAAATTATAGTGCTCTGAACGATACGAGTCGACCCGGGTTAATTTGACCCAACTCGACTTTTAAATCAGGTCGGTACTAACGATTTTTAATGACCCGTGACCCGCATGACCCGCATGACCTGACCCGCCGGGTCGGGTTATAAATTTCCTTGACCCGGGTTTGACCCGGATCGTTTTAATTCTGGCAAAATTATAATTTTGGCCAAAATTAAGCCAAGAATTAGTTTTAACAAATATTAACATAGCTTATTAAAGCAGAAAAATAAAAAATTAACCTTTGGCTTTTGAGAATAATATTTTTTCGATAGCTTTAGAATTCCAATTTATCTTTGATTTGAATATCTGCTAATTATTTTGCATAATTCTTTGACTTTTATTATATTAAACCAGGTTCAAAATTCGTATTTTTGATTTCATTTTAGTTAATTAGTCTAGGAGTAAAATAAGAGCTAGTGTTATATGTTTTGTATAACCATTCATGATACAAATTTCAGGTGGCTACTAGTGGTTAATCACTAAGTTGCCTTTTTTTCAAATAAAAGGAAATTAATTTTGTTATTATTAGAAGAAAATCTCACATAATATAAGTTAGTACCCATTTTACTTAAATGTTCGGGTTTAACCCGGGTTACACGAGTTAAATTATACTCGGTCGAGTCAAGGGTCGGGTTACGAAAATATGAGACCCGAATAAATCCGAGTCTTATATTTTTTTATTCAGATCGCGTCGAATATTTCCTCAAAACCTGACCCAACTTGACCCGGTAGGAGCACTACAATAAATTATCCAAAATTACAATTTTTTCTAAACCCAAGGTTAATCCCGTTTTAAAAGTAATTTTAACAAAGGATTTTAAATTGGTAAACTCATCAGAATTAAATAGCAGTCCAGATTCTTCACAAATCTTCTCAGAAAAATAATTCTATAAATCTGTGAACGATTCATGCCGGTAAAATGTTTCAAGAATTTCTAGTTTCAAGTATTTCTATAGGATGGATTCTGTTGCGAAACCTTTCTCGATATAAGGTTGAATATTAGGTTTATTTACTGTAATTAAAAGAAAACTGTGTAATTTTGTTAAATCAATCTCAATAAATAAATGCAAATAATTAAAATTATATATCACACTGTAGCAAATTACGGTACAAAATGGTAAATTCGGAAGAGTTTTGGAAATAAATTTCCGCCCTTTTATCGAGCCATTCATTGGAGAGTGCTATTTATGACCATGTACTATTCGAATAAGCATGATATTTTTTTTATTTTTTACTTTCTCTGGCGTAAAATGACATAATATCTCTCTTTAGTTACAAGATTTTGAAAGACATTTTATGATAAGTTAAGAAAGTTAGAATAAATAAATAAATAGATGAACAAGCAAAAAACTAATTTTTAGAAGAATAATTTGTGAACAGCAGCTTAATAAATTTGCTTCTTTTTTTGTATTGGTAAACAAATTTTTATGGATTAAAGAAATATCTTTTGTGATACGGTAATAAGGAGATCAAAAAAAACCGAACAGAAAGTTTTTCAAACGAATTTTACAAGTTCGACGTTGCGACGCGTAAAGATATTCAACTACATCATTATTTAATGTTTATTGAAGTTGACAGCATTTTTTTATTTATCAGATTTATAATGTATTGGAAGTAAAGAATAACTTGAATCAATGAATTATTTTGAGGACAGTTTTTGGCACACGTTGTACTTGAGTCTTCTCTTTAATAAAAAAATATTTTAAGTATGACTAACGTCAAATACATTCAATAAGAATCCTATTTTTTAATAACAAGAAAAACTTCAAAATCTTCTACATTAAATCTTCCTACCGGCATACCATCAATTTTAGGATAAGACCTTGGACCGTTCCTATGCCAAGCACCATCGCTATTTTGATATAAATCACAACCAGCACCAAACCCTAGTCCAAGTGAAGAAAAATTTCTAATAGAATGTTGATCACCATTACTATAACTTACTTTTGCGGTTATTATGCTCTTCCTATCTGCAAAAAAATATATAAAACTGTCAATTGTGGACTTATTCTGATTACTTGAATCCCATTGAAATGGATTATATCCCCCAACTATTTGTACTGAATTTGTAACTTTAGCAACAACGATAGTTGCACCTTTATTATCACATTTATTATGAAATGCTGCAGGTGTATTACCATCTCTACTAGCGCGATAAATTAAATTGAATTTGTAAGGATTATTTCTTATATTATAATGTGAATTCTCTTTCTTATCAATCCAACTAGAAAAAATAGCAAAATGTTGACGTTCGATTAAAGTTGAATCAAACTTTGATTGTCTAGAAGGTTGAACATTTGGTTTTCTATTAGGTGCAATATGAAATGTTAACAGATCATTAACTAAATCTTTTGGTAGTAATTTTCTTAAAGGGTGTACTTTATCAAGAAAATCTTCTGGTGAAATATGATAAAATCTTATTAAAGGCACAAGTCCATGAAGAGATCTCTCCATAATTGTAATATCTTCCTTACTCCATTTCGTGATGTCTTGCGAAATAGAAGGATTTTGTGCAAGTCCCCATTTCAGTAAGCAATCCCAAATAAAACATTCGTCCAAACCTAAATCATCCCTTTCTAAAAGTAATTTTAATACATGCGCCTTTAAACTGGTAAATTTACCAGATTCAAATAATATTTTAGGTTCTTCGCAAATTTTCTCAAGACAATAATTCCATAAATCTGTGAATGATTCATGTTGATAAACTGTTTCAAGAATTCCGATAGGATTTTGTTGCAAAAATTCATCTTGATGTTTAATCAAGTAATTTTGAATATAAGAGATTAAAGATTGAATATTAAGTTCATCCACTACAATCAAAAGCTTTAACACTTTAGGACCTTGTAATTGTGTTAAATCAATCTTTCCACAATAAATAAATCTAATTAATTAAAAATATTTAAACGTCAATTATAATCTTGTGAATTTAATTTTATAATAAATAATAAATTAAATTTATTTTTACATTACCTTAGGATAACTTTAAATAATTCGGGAGAAACATTAGGTTTCTTAAAAATAAATTTTTCATCCTTTTTTTCAGCCCATTCATTTGAGAACGCTGTATAAAAATATTGCGTTCTAGTACATAAAATACTCGAATGTGCATGAAATTCTTTCATATTTTCATTTTCTCCAGCGTAGATAATAACATCATAACCTATTTCAGTCGTAAGTAATTTTTCGAAATCGTTAAGTACTTCTTGACAATATTCATGAGACATTTTTTTCAAAAGAAATGAGTAAAGGTTTTGGAAATACTATTTATGTATTAATTTGGATTTTTGTACGACCGTGATTTTGGGGCATTCGGGCAATAATTTAACCTTAATATTCTGATCAAATGATTTCACGTGATAATTGTTTAAATTTATTAAAAAAAAAAAAATTGCAGTGAGCAATATCAAACTTTCCACGAAAAAAGTAAAATACATACGGTATAATTTGAATGCTACAAAATATGTGGAATCAATAAGTAGAGTACGTGTTACAAAAATATGATTTATTATTATTTTTTTTTTTTTTGGTAAATGCGCTTCTTTATTGGGTATTAATAAAAATACATTAAAGGCCCCCTTTAGAATCCAAGTCACGATGCTGATTTAAAGTGGTATTCAGACTTTTCGCCGAAGTCTATTTCACCGAGACACATTTCGCCGAAGAGAAATGGACATTTCGCTGAAACTTCAAATATTTTTCCAAAATGTCCATGATAATTACGAAAATTTTGTTACTAAATTATTATTAAAAAAATTTATTTCGATTTAACTGTTATAGTTTAACGTTAATATTTATTAATAAAAATCGGGGATTAGATTGATAAAATGTCAATCGCCAACATTTTTGGCGGAATATCCTATTTGATGAAGTAGATTTCGGTGAAATGGATGATTCAGAGGAAAGGATTCAGCAAAAGTCCATTCAGCGAAATTTCCATTCGGCGAAATGTCTCTTCTGAGCCGAATTTTTGCTTTTCCTTTGCGTGTTTTAACAAAAATGTCATATTGCATGCATAATTTTTTTAGATTACATTACTAAGTCCCTGTAAAAAAGTCTATCCGTTTTTTATATTCCATCTTTTTTCCGTAAAAGGCTCATATTTCCGGAATTAATAATAGCCTTATATCACGGAATTTATCAAATTATTTACATTTTCCGTGAATGGATCCGTGAAAGGCTCATTTTTACGGAGTTTTTACAGAAATAACGGATAAAATTTTTTATAGGGAGTGTCAAAGGATTATTACAGTGTACTATAAACGAAGCGTCATACTATTCAAAAATCCTGGGTGGTTCAGTTACCCTGGTAACCACGCACGAACATTATAGCTCCTCATAATGTTCCTGGGATTTACCACAAAATCCTGGGATCCATAATCTTGACAGTCAATAATCCCTGCATCAACGGCGCCCCTATAAAATGATTTTCCGGTAAAAACTTTAGTTTTTATTGTAAGAATTCAGAATTTTCTAAAAAATTTTTATAGGGCACTAAAATCCCGACAATTCCCAAATTCCCAACAGATCAAAATTCCAAAAATTATAGATGTACAAGAAACGTACGTAGTTTATAAAGCTTACAAGATAAATTAAACAGACAGTATAAAATTCTGAAAGTCAAATCTCGAAGCTTTTGAAAAAAAATATATACTTTTTTTAAATTAAACGTATTATAATTTAAAAATAATATAAAGTCTTGAAATTTTATATTCAGCTGTTTGCATCACTAATAAAATTTCAATTCCAATTCCTATTAATGTATTTTTGTATTGTATTTTTTTATTTTAAAAAAAAAGACACTAGTCAGAAAATCAATTTTTTTCTTTAAAACAATGTGAAGTTATTATGAATCATCGAAGGATTTTGGGAGATCCCAAGAAGTAATATAAAAAAATTTAACTAATCCTGCGCAAATTAAGTTTTGCAAATTAATTAATAACAGATAATGAAATACATTACTCTTTACCTCAATTTTTTTTATTTTATTTATAACCTCACTGGAAGCAGTAGCTTTATTAAGAAATAATATTTTATGCACGCATAAATCATTTCTATACTAGCATCCATCCAACCAGCAGACGTTTCCAGAGAGCATTATTAAAATTCAATTAAAATTATCGATAGGGCATGATCTCTCGGCGATTGGATAATCAGCGATAGGATAGGCTTTCTCTCCAGCAACTACAGCATATACACAGACAACACAGTCATAGACATCTAATGGTTTTTTTGGATCACTTGTTGGATCCAACAACAACTCCGATAAGATATGAATCAGGGAGTTTAGACGTCAATATGACTCAGCAAAATTTAAAATTCTGAATATAAGGGGTAACTATGGGGTTCATCATAATCAACTAGAAGTATTGTTTTTTCTGCAGTTATCTTTAATTAATGTACCGGAAACAGTATATATGTTGTATATGGTTTCTGAATCGGTGGAAATCGGATCTTGGCCAGCATTACGAAATCCTAGTCCGGCATTATGCTTTAATTCTGACCAACATTATATGTGGATTCGGAATCCACATAGACCGTTTCCACCTACAACATATATAAGTTGCGGGTTTTTAAGAAACAGGAGGGTCAGGTGACATCGATTAAATAAAGTTCCTCTTTTACGAAGTTGGTATGGCATTGATCATGGAAAATATAGCAAATAAAAAATAAAAATTTGGTTCATTTTGAAAATATTTAGTAGGGATAATACTTTTTTGTGAAACTTAATAATAGATATTCCATTATAATGTAATGTAATCATTAATAGCTTGATTTCGGAGTTACTTCCTTTTTATAGAGAAAAAAAAACAGCTTTCTGAGAATCTGAGTACCATCAAAAGATTTCATTTTTTTTTTTAATTATTAAAATGGATGATCATTTTAGAAGAATGAAAATTTGACCGACCGATCCGCTTCATTTACGCAGACCAACAAGTGCGGTGTAAATTTTTTGGGATAAATCAAAAAATTTGTTGATTACTATTACAAAATTAATTTTTAACACACACGTGAAATATGATAAAAACTTTTTATTAAATAAAAAATAAAACCCGGGTCTCTTTTAAATTTTAATGTTATGTGAACCGAAAATATTAATTAGCGTGGGCTAATCTCATCAAATGAGTTGTTTTCATAGAAAAATTCTAAAAATAAATTGTTATAAGTCCGAATTAATTTTATGTGATTGTACCATCATGTAATTTATTAATTTTTTTTTTAAGACATTTAGGAATATTATCCTAAAGATATTTTCAAATCAACCTCATAAAAATTACTAATCTAGAAATGTATCTTGGAAAGAAAAATTTGGACTTTATATTTACGTGAACATCTATTAATCTTGACATAATACAGTTTGTAATTTTCAACGATCATTATTTGTAATATAAATCATATAAAATAGTTTTTATGGATGGAATGAAACAATTATTGCTTAAAGACAATACATGAGAAATATCAATATTTATTTATGATAAAAAAGAAAAAATAATTTTGGTCTTACAATTGTCACTTGTTTTAATAAAAGCGGTAGTGTTTATGATGGAAACATTCAAAATCCCAACGATCAAAATCAGTTATAATACAAACTCGATGTTCACGACCTAATCCCGAAAATTCGAAATCTCACTCATTATCCCTATATTCATTATCAATTATATTACAATGCAAAAATTTTAATCAATATATCAGATATTGATCTTTTACATATTAATAAAAAATTAATTGTTACAAAAGTATTACGTACATAAGATTTAAGGATAATGAGTGTCAGGAATTTGATTTCAGGGTTAATGATTTTCAGGTTGTGGTAAATCCGTTTTATATTTGTAGATCTCTCTATAATGGAATTCATTCTGTGTATATAATTAGGAATTCTAAGAAGATTTATGTAGATTATGTACTATATAAAGTTGGGTCCCTTCATAATCAAATTTATCATAAAAATAAAAAGTATGATGTAAACGAAAAAGTAAAATTACATAATTGCCTACATAATTATAATGTAATCACAAATCTCATTAATACGGTAATTTCTTTTTCCGTATTAAATTCTTGGCGTTTTCAATCAAGAATTTTAGTTTTACCAATACACATCACGAATATCATGTTTATTAGGTACAGCTATCTTAATAAATCCTTATCAATTCCGCGTGGTGGACGCGGGTTTGAGCTTTTAGTAATCTAGCTTTTGCTGCAGTCCTGCAATAGGACCGATCGGTTGTGGTGTCAAACTTAATTTTATGGATGGAGCATAGTGTGCTGCCGTATTAAGTACACGAATTTCAACAGCAGCTTCTTTAGTTAATACTTTCAAGCAAATAAATATTCTGACATTCTAAATTAAGTTAATTGGATGGATAAATTATTAATATAGATATAGAAATACTTTACTCGGTTATATTTGGGTAACATATACTATAAATTATTTTAAATAATTTATAAATACGCGATATTTGAAAAAAGATTTTTTTTTTTTAAGCTTCGTTAAAGTAATTTTTGAAATAATTTTTGAAAAAAAGTTGAATTGGAGATAATTTGATGATTAATAAAATGGAAGTGATTTATTTAAAAAATAAGTTGTTGGAACGTACCTGAAATAACATGACAGGGAAAATGTCAGTTAATTAACTAGTTAATAACATTTATTTCAGTCCGATATAAATTTATACATTACGCGAATTTTATTTTCAGGTGTTAATTCCGGGGCAGAATTAAGCTTCAATTTATAATGAGTTATGGCAACTTTAACACTGATATCATAATATGATCATTAACTAAGATCATCTTAACGGACTCGTTTCCGTCATATCGATATTGTTTGGTTTGAAATCATTTTAATATAGTTAGGTTAAATATGATCTTGACGATCTTGTTTCAGTACTATCGTCATTACTCTAATAATGACGTAATATTGTGTCGCTCATAATCTTTAAACCAATCATTTTCAAACTCTATCTTAATGGCTAACGATAAATGATTAACAATAATTGAACAATTAATCGAACAATTTAATCGATTAATCTTTATAAAATTGCACTTTTAACATTATTATCGATTCTACAATATGTTGATCGAGGGATCGATCAAGTTCGAATTAATTTGCTAATCTATAAAAAACTAGTTTGGATTGAGGAAACATATTTAATAATTTATTTTAATATTTTGAATATGAAAGTTATTAATATTTTGCATTTTAATAGTTAAAACGACTTACTAAATACTAATACTACACTTATATGTTTCTACATAATAATGAATGTATTTTCATGCATTTTTCTTGTTTATTTTCAAATTAATAACATATTATCTGTTATGACATTTCATCTATAAAAATTGTAGATTAACATTTGTACATCGTTATTTATAACCATGCGAGTGAAAATCACCTCTTTTAGTTTCGTATATAGACCATATTTAGATATTGATCATTTAAAGTTGTGAAAGAAGAATAAATGGAATAATTACTCAACCGTACCGTACTGTGTAACAATTATTCGGTATATAATTTTACCTTAATAACACATAATTATATAAATAGAAAGACTTTGAAATATCGTATCAATCAAGTTAATTCAAAAATGAATAAAAAAAATTTTATTTTCTTATTATCGTTATTCTTATTAAATCTAATCTTTCGTGTCAATATCATTATAGCGACACGAAATCATATTCCTACAAATTTTGATATAAACCTCTCGCCAAAAAATATTTTGGTAGGCTCTTATACTGGTGGGAGAAGTCATCTTAAACCAATGTTAGATATTGCTGCTATATTAATTGAAAGAGGTCACAATGTGAGTAATAAAAATATATAATTTTTCAAAACTCATAATTTTATCTAATTATATTTATACTTTATACATAGGCAATAATGTTATCATCAGGAAATTATACGCCAGCGTCAGAATATCCAACCATTAAACAAATTTCAATGGGACCTCCATTGAACGTTAAAAATACAAGAGATTCTGCACGACTTATAGTACAAGCAGAATTTGATTATATAATTTTAGCAAAAATATTTGAATCGAGCGTACAATCATACAAGAGCACATACGAAATATATAAAGATACTGCAATTGATAATAATATTGATTTATTTATTTGTTATGCTATGTTTAATGATGCTTGTTTAGATGTCGCTCATGCTTTAAAGAAGCCTGTCGTTGGATTTATGTCTTTTCTTTATGGTAATTACTTATATATTATTTTTCAAATAAAAAAAAAATAATTAAATAGAAATCATCTTTCTTTTTTTTTAGTAATAGACGCTCAAACATATAAATCTGATCCAGTGTTCCGTTGTAATATTTCATTGGAAAATGAATCATTTTTGGAAAGATTTAAGTGTACAATAATACGACCTCTTCATATAATTAGTTTATTACATACTCCTTTAAATCAAATAAATGATTTAAGAAACCAAATGAGTATTGAACCCGTTTATATGTCTTTTAGAAGATTACTTCGAACTTCTCTAGTTTTTATTGATACTTTCTTTGGTCTTGAGGTAAAGTAAAATAAACAAAATATTTTTCTTTTATTAAATTAAATTTATTTTATTTTGAATTCAAATTTTTCTTTTTTCGTTCAAGTTACCGCAAGCTTTACCATCAAATGTTCAGGTAATGATACCAATCAAAAAATATTATGACATGCGAAGTAAAATATGATACATGTAATTTATAATAATTTAATAATTTTCATTCTTTCTTCTTCAAATTATTAGGAAATTGGACCAATAATATCAAAAGATTATCCTCCGCTTACACCAGAACTCTCGAATTTTATGAATGTACATGAGCGAGTTTTATATATAGCTTTTGGTGGTCGTTTCTTTACAACCACTGAGAATAATAACAAAATTTTACAATCCATTATTGAAATTATTAATAAGAATATGATTGATGGTGTAATTTGGGCATTAGTTATGACATCAAAGAATGATTTTTCTCCTACATTAAATTTATCTAATGGTTTACAAGTTCAAACATCTTCAATTTTAAATAACGAACATCCACATATACATATTACAAATTTTGCTCCACAATTTGCTGTACTTAATCATACCAATACGAAATTATTTTTTAGTCATGGAGGTGCAGGAAGTATTCATGAATCCCTTTTTACTGGTACACCCATGTTAGTATTACCTATTGGTGGTGATCAGATGGGTAATGCTCAAAAATTAAAATCAGCTGGTGTAGCATTATCATTAAATAAATTTACTTTGGATGTTAATGATATTATAACTAAGATAAATTTCTTATTAAATGATAATGATGTAAAGAAAAATGTAGATAGAATGAAAGTTTTGGCTAAAATTAATAGTAAAAGAAAATATAGGGCTGCAGATTTAATTGAATATATTTTACATCGAGGTTCTTCTAATCAAGAATTAAAGGAATTGATTCCTGCTGATAAAAGAATGGGATTTATAAGAGGAAATAATTATGATGTTTATATAACTTTATTAGGTATCGTTCTTGGATTTATTGTAGTTATTTTACGGATTACATTTAAATTAATTAGGTTCTTTCACTTCTTTGTAAGAATAATTTCTCCTTATTCTGATCAAAAACCAAAAAGAGAATAATTCAAAAAAAAAATTTCTTATAAATTTTAGATTTCCATTTTTTACTTTTAATATATATATATATTTTTTTTTTACATAAAGAGAATTATGGTTATGATTAATTGTGAAAATTAGTCTATAATTTACAACCTAATAAATAGATTCAATATTCTTATATTTTATAACTGTATATAAATTACCCTAGTTTATTCGTCTTTTTGACTAAGTATATTTTTTTCTTCAAAAAGATTTCAGTCAAGTAATCATCTACATGTACTGTAGCTATAAGAATGAGTAATTTGATTTTAAAAATATAAAAGGAACGAAAAGGAAATTTTTTAAAAAACTAATTATTAAATTTTATTTTGGTATTGAAAAAAATTTATCCTTCGATTTGAAAATAAAAAAAAATCAATTAAAAAAATTTAGTTTGAAAAGAAAAATAGAAATAAAAAAAAAAACTATTAAAAAAAAAACTCGGTATTGAAAAAAAAAATTAAATTTTTCGTTAGGCATTCAGTATGGGCGGATTTGACACTTGATGAGATTATTTTGGCCAAAATCAACGTTAATTTTAGCCAAAATGATCGGTATTCCGATCATCAAGTGATTCGGTGTTATAGATTGGGCGCAGGAACATCACGCGTTTAATGTTACACAATTTAAATTAGAGAAGTCTAAAAATCACAAAATTTTTATAAAATAAAACAAAGAACTATTAATCATAAAATAAGATTTTAACCCCCCGGGTCACTTTTTCAAATTTCAATAAAAAAAAAGTTCATATATAAAAAATTTATCATGTAACAATAGAATGAAACTTTATTGCTTTTTATATTGTTTATTATTCGTGTGTTGTCTCAGAAAAATAAATATAACAGTAAAAATAAATGTACTATTATAATTCTTTTTCCAACAGCAGTAAAAACTCGATTTTTCGTTGTGTAAAAAGATTACAAATAAGAGTGGAAAAAGATTAATATCAGGTAGTTTTGACATTTTTTTTTTACTCAAATTTTACAAATGTCTTTTCTTCTCACCATGAACTTGAAAGAGTAGCATTACTAGCAAGGTACGATCGTTTGGAACCAATTTATATGTTCGGATAATATTATTCATGGTTGTTGCAATATTACGATGCGTAAGTGGAGCATCTAAATTTCATTTATTCATGTCAAGCTTCTTCAAGTGATGTATTGTGCTGAAACTTTTCCACCAACTAATGTTTTTGATAACCTAGATTTCGCTTCAAAATCTGCTTCCCATCAATCAGATGATAAATGTAAAATCGATCTGTCTCCACAAAAGTCTTTCATTTTTGCTTTTTTTTCAACAAGTAAACCTTCCCAATCTTTCAAATTTTCTGCCTCCAGATGTAAACTCCCATAATCATAGAAAAACTGTATATATCGCTAGATGGAGTGTAAGGTTTACCTCTTAAAACTTCAGGTGCCATAAATGGTTTAACACCATAAATATCATCTTTTCTAAAAGATTTTACAGGGTGACATAATCCTAAATCACTAATATAAACACAATCTACTTTATCCGTTTCACGATTGTTCTTATTTAAAATATTGCCATCATGAAAATCACGATGAACAATATTTTGTTCATGCATTTCAATAAGTCCACGAATAATATTATTCAACATGCACAATTTATGTTTCCAATTATATTTAATTACTTTCGACAAATTTCCTCCCAAATTGCCTTTGTTTGCATAATCCATTACTGCCATATATTGCAAAGTATTTGAATTCTTTGTGAATCCATACAATGTTATATACAACTTTAAACTTATATGACATCCCACTATATATATAAAATTCAATATTAGTTTAAATAAATTATTGAAATTAAAAAAAATAAATAATGTATTATCATACTTCATTTATAAATTCATCTAAATTTTCATTCAAATTATTAACACATTTAAGATCCTTCCCATATAGCTTTATGTATAGACAGTATAGTACCAAATCCTCCTTTATCAATATATTCAACATTTTTAAATTCATTATAAGAAATCCAGTTTAATTTATTTTCAAAAATAAGTTTATCCAAATTTGCATTTCCACTGCTTTCAAAACAATAACTTAAACAATTAATGAAAAAATCATATTAAAATTTAAGGGTAGAGTATTTCCCCCTAAGTGATCGCCTTGGTGCAATATGAACTTTCGGTTAAAAAGCCACGGTTTTGAACTTTATCTTTTGACTTAAAATATACTCCTTATTTAAAATTTTTGGTTTGTAACTTTTGTATGAAGTTTTAAAACTTTCGCAAATGTCTATTTTTTTCTGGCGAATGTGGAATAAATAATATTATTGGTTTCCATTTTATTGGTTTAGTTTTGAGTCAACAATAGCCATAGTAAGTTTATTTTTAGAAATATATCCATTATGTAAATATACACTATTTTTTTTTATTTTCGTCGCGGTCGCGCTGGTTTATTTTAATGTTACACAATGACTGATTTTATATACCGGTAAATTATTTAACCGGTTGTTTATCTGGCACATGACAGTGAACATTTTCTACCCTCAAATTAAAGTAAAATATTATTAATACTTACTCTAAAATTTAAATAAATATGTAATTGTATAAATATATATAATAACTTGGCTAAAAGTTTTAATTATATAGCTTAGTAGATCGTAAATGATCAGCTGATACGCCGATCAATCCGATCATGTTCCAAATTTTACAATTCCAATTAAAAAAAAATATCAAATAATTTTTAAATAAAGAAATTAGTTAGTTTAAATTATGTGTAAATATTATATAAATAATTTATAACTTAGCTTACAAGAAATAAATTACCAAATTTTAAATAAAGAATTGTGTAAATATTATTTAAATATGCAATAGAATTAAATGAATGACTTACAAAACTATATTGTAAAATTATTAATTTAAATTATATAAAATATAAAAATATAAATATTATATAACTTACACCCTGTAGTATTATTTATTAATTATTAATTAATTAGACATAAATATATGTCACTTACAATCTAACCATTTAAATAAAGAATATAAATTAATTTAATTTGAATTATATGTAAACATTAAATACTAAGTACAATTAAATACTGTAGCTTACCTTCTATAATGGAATTAGTTATAAATAGTTATTTAAACAAAGAATTAGTTATTTGACATTATATAAATATAGTAAAAAATAAATAACTTACTAACTGTAGTTATTATTAATCATTAAATGAATTATTTTAGTTATAAAGAAGTAATTCCATTTTTATTCAAATTATAAGATAAAATATTGGCTTACGAGCTAAATTATTTAAAATAATTTTGTACAACAGACAAAAATATAATTAGTTTAAATTATATGTGAATATCACATGAAGTATAGTAATTTTTAAATTATTTATGAATAATTTTCTAAATAATTAAAAAAGAAGTTTAATATATTCCAAATTGTTTAGTGTATTATATTTACCTTTAGATTCCTTTGTACTACTTCCTAGATTCCTCAACGCTACTTTTTTCAGAATTTCTCAACGCTACTTCTCTCAGATTCCTCAACGCTACTTTTTTCAGACTCCTCAACGCTACTTCTCTCAGACTCCTCAACGCTACTTCTCTCAGACTCCTCAACGCTACTTCTCTCAGACTCCTCAACGCTACTTCTTTCAGATTCCTCAACGCTACTTCTTTCAGACTCCTCAACGCTACTTCTTTCAGATTTCTCAACGCTACTTCCTTCAGATTCCTCAATTCTACTTCTCAGTGCTACTTTCTTCTGATTCCTCATTGCTACTTTCTTCGGAACCTTCGGTTCAGATTTTTTAATATTACTGGAAACTAGTTTTGTTATATTGCAAATTTGTTTCAATTATATTTATTTATTTACAATTAATTTTTTTTTAATAAATAAAATTTAATATTTCAACTTGTTTAGCTAGCGTATTATATTTACCTTTAGGTTTCTTGTCGCTACACGAACCTAGTTTTATTATATTGCAAGTTTGTTTTAAAAATTTTGAATAATTCTAATTTATATTATATATTTATGCCATATGCTTTTACCTTTACTAGTACAATGACCCATTGCTAATATAATTATATCAAAATTCTCCCTAAAAAAAAATAGTGTAAATATCTTTTTTTTTCTTTATCAAACCGCCTTTATTTATGCAAATGCAGATTTCAGATGCCGTGTTATGTTGATCACAACATGACACGTCCGGAGGCTCATTGTAGTACAGCAAAGAATCAAACTTTAATGTATATTAATATAAAATCTTTTTTTTATCAAGTTCATCTTAAAAATGATCGGCAAAAAACGATATTTTTATACACTGTAACGCTCAAGCCCGTGTTAATCCACGTTGTCACCTTGGACTTGACAAAAATGATCCTTTATTCAATAATAAAATATCTGTACCATTTAAAATAACAATGCTTGGTTTTCTAAACTAAGTTTTCTATATTAAATTATTTAAAATCAAACTGCGATAGTTTCCCCTTATGAGTAAGTTCTATCAACCATTAAATTAATTAATGTGGCACTTTTTCATCATAAGAAAAAGGCAAAAAGAGTCGAAAACTAATCTAATGGTAAAAGGGAAAATAAAATTATTCTGGAGATGGTCGAATAGGCTTTCTTTTTATCATCATTGTTTATTTCGCTTTCCTTATTTGAATATCTGGTTATAATTACTTGTCGATCAAATAATATAAATTAAAATACAACGAACTATTGTTACGATAAAAAACGATGTGACGAAATCACGTGATATAACCGTTGATCATTTATCGGGACGATTAATATTATTGGATGATCAACGTCATATAACGGGAGGATCAATGTTCGAAATGTTTGATATATCAAATATATCAAATATATGAGATATATTGCACATATTAAATATATCACACATATTAAACATATCAAACATTTTAAACATTTTTAGCTTAGTGTTTTTACATATAAATAGACGCGTTAATTTTCGATGTATAAAAGATAGGTATCCAAGTCACTAAGATATTTACTGATATTAAATAAAAACACTTTTTATTATTATTTATATCTTTGGTTATCTCATTGTCATTTGTTGTCATATACACCTAACCTATTGTTATTTATTGTCTAAATCCTTTATTTGTGTCTGATCGTATTTGCCATTGGGAGTGCAATACTTTATTCACATCTGATCGGATTTGAAGTAAAATTGATTAATTATAATTTAGAGATATAAATTTTGTTTATTAATCTTGCATTAACTATCGTTATTTTACATATACACATATACCTTCTGCTTACCCTAAATAATCTTTTGTTTATATTAATAAACGATAAAAGAACTGATTCTAACACTATGTAATACTAAACATTACATATGAATCAGATGACCTGAAGTTTTAACAATAAGAATATAAAATTTATACAATATAGACTTCCCTAGCGTAACCTGAAAAAAATGTCACGAAATGGCCGGCATTACGCAACTTGACTGAAATTAAGTGTGGCGCACTTGTGACGAATAATGTGTGACGAATAAGTTTTTACCTACTCGAAAAAAACTAAGTCCCTCAGATACTTATAGAAAATGGAAACGCAGTGGGGTGTGACGGTTGTGACAAAAAAACTCACGTGATTTTTCGTGACATTTTTTTCAGGGTACGAAAGTCATACAATATACTACTGCGCCTTACAATTATTAAATTCACTTGGTAATTCTGGCATTAAAATTCTACTAGAGCTATAAATAGATTAGTGGCGCAGTTTAATATTTATTTGGTATATTGTTTATTTTCAGTGATAGTATATTTGGTTTGGCGGTCCGCAATGACCTTATATTATGGTAGTTGGGGTCCGAGATGACCTTAAATTTAAGAGTAAGTCCAATGGTAATTGATAGTTAAATAGGATCATTTTTATTTATAAATAGGCTGAACTAGTATTTTTACGCACATTTATTATTAATAAGTTTATTATTTTACCCAAGAAACAATTCATTGTGTAGGTCAGCTAGTTGGCAAAGGATATAATCCTTGCAGGTAATGCTGCGGTGGTCATACAACACTAAATTCAAAGACCTGTATTAAAATTTCCTTCCAAACTCTAGGCAATCTTTCAGAACAATTAAGATACTTCTATCGTAGAACTTTGAAGTTTTATTTTAAAGGAAAAGATATTAATTTATTAATTTATTTATCTATTTTTTTAAAAAAGTTTGGAGGCTTACACATTCAAGATGTATCCATACTTTTTAATATCTCTAAAATATAGACAACGCCAAAAAATAAATTGTTAACATAAGAATTTAACAAAACAAGTATTTGGAATTTTTAAAATGGTTATGATACGATTTACAGACAGCCATTTCACCGACATGAAATTAAACGACACACCATTTACTATAGCTAATTTCCATTTTACCACCATGAACATTTCGCTGCGCCTCGCTCTTAATTTTTAAATTATTATAAGTAAAATTTTGCTGCTTTTAAAAAATTATAGGCTCATTATTTTTTTTTTAGAATTTTATTTTTTTTACATAATTAATGTATTTATATTTTGTATTTATCGTTTTACTTTATAAACACTAAAAAATGAAAGGGGTTTTCATCGAATATTGAAGTAATAATTATTTGGAAATAATAAAATATCGGATATTGATTACTGAATAATTCAATTTTGTAATTGCAATTTGAAAGGCAAAATAACATGATCGATACTATGTTGCAAAATGCTATCGGCAAAATGATGATTCATTGATGTTGGTGAAATGACAAGTCAAAAAGTGAAGTCAGTAAATTTTATGTCGGTAAAATAGGTGTTGGTAAATATTCTTTGACGTAAACTGATTATACAGCAAAAAAAAAAAAAACTTCCTGGTTATGAACTGCATACCTTATAGTTTATTATACTTTTATTATTTTTTTTTTTTTTTGATAAGATCAAAATCAAATGATTGAAATAAACTGAGTTTGATGCTTATCTTATACAATATTTGGTATTACTATAGTAAATAGTTTCATTTGGATTAGTAATACTAAATAATAATAATTAATCATTTTTATAAAAATTTACTCACAATGCCACAGCAATTTAAATAGTTCAGTATAAAAGACCTCATAATTGATTAAAATTACTATTTAGCAAAAATGAGGTTATTATCCTTAGTTAAAGCATATAAAGTACCGTACTATAATCATGTTAAAGCATATAATGTACCATGTTATAATTACAAAAAACCAGCAATAGTTGGCATTAAAACTTGTGAGTTTATAATATATATATTTATTTATTTTCTTCTTTTCTTTAACTGATTTTATTTTGTAACTTTAATTCTTAGTTTGCACTCTAAATTTTTATAAAAAATCTGATGTCTTTGCACCAATAATGCCTGATGATTCAGATGTTAAATCAAAAGATTTGTATGAAAAAGTTTCAGAAATTCTTAATGTTAAATACCTCTCAGATACTACACAAGAATTAGATGAAGTCAACGGAATTTTATATGGATATTCTAACCGATTTTTTGGAGTAATGACGATGAATATAAATGATAAAATTAAAAATTTAATTTTTCTTATTGATACTGGTTCTCCAAAGACTTACATCACTAAGGAAGTGTTAGATTCATGTTTGCCAAATATTACTAATACATATAATCCTTTTTCTGTGATATTAAATAAAAGACATATAGCAGTAAATGTATCTCCTGTTGGTTCTACTTTTAGTGATTTGAATATATTAGGAACAGATTATATGAGTGTATATAGAGCTAAGTTGGATGCAGATTTTAAGCAAAAAAATTTTAGTATTAAATTTAAGTCTAGTTATTGAAACAAAATCAAATCACAGTATATTTGAATAATAGTGTAATTATTTTTTCAACAAATATCTAATAAATGGTCATACAAGTTATATATGAATTATAGTATTTGTTTAATTCAAATGTGTGGTTATTATTGGCATTTTGCATATGAAATATTTACCAGTAAAGTAATCCTACACGTTCTTTGAAAAAAAGTATAAACTTTTTATTTATTATATTAATGTAAAAAATCCATTAATTACAAATTTTTGTTATTAAAATTCTCTCATGTGTATGTACATCATTTATTTTCAGTTTTCTATTTGATTATACAAAGAGAAATTACAAGTAGACTGCCTGAATCTAGTTTGAAACCTACATTTTAAAGATTTTTATATATTGATCAATACTAACTTAACTAAATATCAATTGATTATTAATCTATTCTCAAAATATATTATACTGTATTGAACTGATTAATATATACTTATAAAATTCTTTAAGCTTCATAATGACTATTAAGAAACACAATTTTTAAATACTCTCATATTAAAATTTTCACTTTATTGATAATGTATTTTATGAAAAAAGGGGGTAAATGTTAATTTAATTAGCATTATACAGAACATAGCCAAATTATCAAAAATACGAGAGTAACATAATAATTAATATTAGTTTTATTTTTTGGATTTCTATCTTCACAAAAACTAAGTTCCACTAGTTTAAATTTCATTCAGCATTGCAAAATTTGGCTTGTACTAATGACAATTTTTTAATTTTTCTTATTTAAGTAGTAACTGCAATAATATATTAATTTACATTAGAAATAAAGGATATACAAAGTGCTATCTATTGAACAACTAAATGTCATATTGTGTCATATCTGCACAGATTGAATCAGACAAAATAAAGTTAGGCTTTGAATTGAATTAATCAAGTCACGTCAAATTTGAATATTAATCAATCAAATCTGAACAAATTTAATTAATAATTAGTCATTTTATAAATTTACTTATAAGAATTTTTTTTTTAAATATTTATTCTTATACATCTTGAAAACTAATATACAATCAAAAATTTAAATAATTAGAAGCTTTATCAGAAAAAAAATGAGATTATTGTCTTCACTAACATCATTTGAAGTGCCATATTATTATCACAAAGGAATTGCTTTCAAAACTGGTATATAATATTATTTTTACTTGATTTAATTAAGCATATTTCCCTCATTTTTTTATTTGAATGAATTTTCTAAATATAGTTTTTCCCCAGAATTATAATAATAAAAAATTGTTTGCCTTACCATACCATTTTCTTCCAACTGTAAAGACCTGTAAGTTATTATATAATTCATTTATTATTGGAATATATTTATTTTACAATTTTGCAGACTGAAATAAAACTCTTATTATTTTTATTTTTCAAGTTTACACTAGAAACAGTCATGATGATGTGATGGTTATTGATGTACATGATGCCATCAAATCAGAAGATTTGCACAAAAAAGTATCAGAAAAACTTCATGTCAAATACCTTTCAAACTCTGCACAAGAATTGGATGAAGTTAAAGGAAATTTTATTGGTGATAATACGAGACCTTTTGGTGTAATGACAATGAAAATAAACGGACAGGTTAAAAATATACATTTCCTTATAGCTACAGGATCTCCAAAGACTTATATTTGTAGAGAAGTATTAGATTCATTCAAATTGACTATTCCTAATTCAAATGAAACTTTCACAACAAGACTAAATAAAAGACAAATATTGGCAAATGTAACACCTGGTGGTTTTTACTTTAGTGATCTAAATATTCTTGGAACAGATTACTTGTGTCAATATAAAGCTCAGCTATTCAAAGATTTTGAACAAGGACATTTTGCTATAAAATTTGATAATTATTATTCTGGAATCAATACAACTCAAGATAATTGTACTAAATAAATTTTTAATAAAAGATTTACCTTTTTCCAATTTTTCAAATAATAAAAGATTTAATTGTACAAATGGATTTATTTTCCTATTATTAAATGAGAATATATAAAAAGATATAGCTTAAATATAAGTAAAAAAGTTTTTATAGACTAAAACTCAATATACTATAAATAAATAACATAAAGTAATAAAATAGTTTTATTAAATCTTTAAAAGTCTTATACAATTACTCATCCATTGGATATTTTTTAAAAGGTAAAAGAAGATTCATTTGAAATAAAATTTATTAAGAAAAAAAATTAAAAGTTTGCTTGGCCTTATTAACATAAACTATTAAACTTATGCTTGAATAACCAGGTCCTTTTTGTTGGACCAAAAAAAGGGCAACTTAGTTTGATTTTTGAAATATCATGAATTTTTTATAAATTAAGACTTTATTATTTTGGCTCAGCAATTATTTTGAATGTAAATGTACAGCATATATAAATCAAATAATAATAACATTTCCAGAATCACAAAATTTCTTTTCTTTAGAAAAAGTTCATAACAAATTGATTTAAAAATTCTCTCTTATTGAGATTAAATGGTGGTATTAAAGTTGACCTGAATAGAATGAATTGTTAAGTGCAAAATATATATAATGGAAAATCAAAACTTTTTATATAGAAACAATAAATTCAAAATCTAGCCTTAAGAATTCTGAAATTATTGACGATTAATTGTGTTATATGTATTTGTTCTTTTATGAGATAGAGATATGATATCAGTGATTGTTATTGAATTAACAATTAAACATTTTAGTAGTGAATTTACCATTTGTGATGAAAAAGTAGGAAAATATATGAAGTATAATTATTCAGATTTGGAGGATGAATTCAACAAGAGGGTAATACAACTAGTGATAAGGAGAATGGCCCTTTACCATAGTGACTATACAAAATTTTTCAGAAAAATGATCACATATTTGTGTTGGGATTTTGTCGGAATCTTTTTAAATAGGGACACTCAACTAAAGTAACTATATAGATAATTAAGAGGTGAATATAAAGAGTTTACTGTAATACTCAAAAATTTTGTCAAAATAAAACCTGATTGTTGAAATTAGTCTGAATTTGGTTAATTATATTGATGCATCAAATTAATATAAACAATACTATTATTCACACTTATACATGCTGACTTTTAGGATACCAATCAAATTGGTTTTAAAAGATTTTTAATTTACAAGATATCTTTATTTATAATTGCTGTCTATTTTGATTAATCAACTGATCAATTAACTCCTTTATTCTCTAATTAAAATTGCACTTAATCTACGGTGTACCGTTTGGATGAAAAGTGCCAAAATTTCGAAAAATTGATTTTTCGAATTTTTGAATTTTAAAATCTCCTTATAAGGAGATTCTCCTTATAAGGAAAATCTCCTTTTATGGCAATGTAACGTTACACAAATGTCCAAATAAGGAAGTTTGTATTACCAAATTTCCTTTTTTGGACGTTTTGTGTAACGTAGATCTATCCTATAAAAGGAAAATTTCCTTATAAGGCGATTTTAAAGTTCAAAATTTCGAAATTTCGAAATTTCAAAAAAAAATTACCATAAAAGGAAATTTTTTTTAAGATTTTTGAAATTTTGAAATTTCGAAATTTTGAATTTGAAAATCGCCTTTTAAGGAAATTTTCCTTTTATGTAAGGGATCTACGTC